AGAGGGGCGTGGGGAGTGACTTCTTATTTTCATCTGAAGTAAAGACAGAGAATCAGCACTTTTGAAACAGGGCTGAAACAGAGGGGATTATGGGATGCTACAATACACGATCTGTTTAGTATTTCGAGCCAAACACTTCAGAGACATATTTAGTACATATCTGAGACCTATAATATATTGATGAAAAACAGTATAATAGGGGACCTTTCATGTATTTCCCACTGTATGCTCTGACCTGTTTCCATTCCAGATCATGTTGCAGAGGTAAAGGAGGGGCGACAGAGGACAGGGAGTCCAGGAAAGGCACTTGGAGGACATTGACATTGCAGGGCATGCAGGGAGAAGAAGGGCAAGGACGAGGCGAGAGGGCGGATGGCGTTCGAGGAGAACAGAGTGAAGAGGAGGACGAGGACGATGAGGAGGAGGAGGAGGTGGAGACAGTGGTGTCCTGTCGGCGCTGCCCACATCGCCTTTTTCTACAAGAAAGAAGAGAGGGATTGTCATTATAAACAAGAAGTCCTTTTATACACTTTAAGGAACATCAGTGGGCTGCGGTCAGACCTCTGGTTGGGGGTTCTTTGGTTTTTGCTGTGGCTGCAACTGCTGCTGGGACGGGAGCTGGCCGTTGATCTCCCTCTCTTCATCTGCCTCTGGGACTGATCGATGTCCAGCTTCTCCAAACTACGTCTAGGAAACCTTAGGGCGGATTTTACCTTGAAAAGCAGAGGAGAGAGGAAATAAATAAAGTTTGGACAAAGATATTTGTTTTACAAAATGAAGTTCAAGCTGACTTATGTCAAGTGTCTGATGAGTGTTAAATACAGTTTGTTGAACAGATTGTAAAACCCTTTGATTTTGGGCTATATAATGTATATGTATAGAGAACCGCAGTGACGCGTGGTTATGGCTAGAAAGGATCCGTCTAGTGTAAAACTCTCGCGATAGTTTGCAAGTCACGTGGCTGAATGTTTACGTTTGGCAGGCAGCCTTTCAGTTACGATCGTTAACATCAGTGGGCCACAGCAAATGATGGTGAGAAGCTAAACTATCTATTAATTATGTCAATTACAGGGACTGTGATTGTTGAAATAGTGTGCTGTTCAAAGAAGAATGAAGAATGACAACACAGATCACCAACACTACGGTTTATTTTTTATTCACAGGCAAGTCAACGTTGTCGCAGTAAAAGTCCCAAGATAGCTCCTGGTGCAATACAATGTTCCCTTTCAGTGTTTTACTATTATGTCTGATGTTTCTCTATTAATATTACTGCTGCATTAATATGTATGTTGCATGTTACTGCTGTAGGTGTGTTTCCGAGCCGCTCCAACGAGAGTTACAACGAGAACGTGACGTCATATTTACACACGGATCCTTTCTAGCCATAACCGTGACGCGTCCAAAAACACGGAAGTAAGTTAGCATTTTTAGCACTTCCGGTTCCTTCGTTAAAAAGCAATGCATTTTTTCCATAGGGTTTTGGAAAATAGCTCGAAATAAGGTCTGTGGTTGACACAAATTTAAGAGATAAATCACGTTTTGTTCTACGACATCAAATACATCAGCAGTGACCCCACTGGTGATTTTTGAAGAGTTTACGTGTCTGAAAAACGATGGTTGTT